GCCCATTGCCCCAGCCCTCACCGTCACCCGCCACACCTGCCTGCGTCTTTGGGCTCTGTTTCTTTTCCTTCTTCTTGAGTATTTTCTTGTACCATTTCAGCTCGGCTTCACTTCCGGGCTTCAGATCAGGCGGCGGTGCCTCGAGAACGGCCTGGCCTCCAGCCTTTGCTCTGCCCGATAGCTTCATAGCCTTGTTGAAGATGAGGGCAATCAAAACGCCTCTGGCTTCTCCACCAATCATCATACCGCGGTACATGAAATGGTTAGTAGCCAAACTCTGCAAGAACTGCATCACGGTGATTGCAATGACCAGGCCAATACCTTCGCCGATAGGTGGGCCAGGGACATTCCTTCGCTGTGCAACGTATGCCTTGACGGCAAAGCTGATGAGATAGCGCAGTACAAAGGGGGCAATCGCTTGTATAACGGATGCTGAGAGTTGGCACAGACCGCCAATAATAAACTCCCACTTGAACGTGTCGAACATGGCACCAAGCAGAGGCCTCTCGCCGCCTTGTTCTCGCCGCCTATTGAAAGCCGCTTCCAACTTAGCTGCCAGTACATCTGCACTTCGATCTGGATTGACTTCCCAAATATCGTTCTTTTCTAGCGGCCGCTTGTAGCCCACTCGCATAATCGGTTGCATCCATTGCCATGTGAGTCTGCTGAGCAATCCAGCAGTGTATTCTGGGCTTACGGTACGCTCTTTCGGTACAGGCGGCGGGTTGTTCTTGAGCACGTTCAGGCGTTTGTAAAAGGGCTTCTTCATTGGTGTTGATTTCGTGGCGTTGGACTCTGTAGTGCTGGCTTCCGAGTAAGCACTGGTACTTGACTGTAACCTGGAAAGGTTTCCTCTTGGTCCATGACCGTCGCCATTACTCTCAATTGCCTTTTCGCTAGGCTCTGTCCGTATTGGCTCATATTCTGTGGGATTTTCTGCTGCCGCTTGAGGATCTGCCAAGCCTAAACCCTTTTCTTTTTCGGTCTCGTCTAGAGACGACGATGATTGGGATTTGGCCATGTCGGCGCGAATGCCGGTCCAATGTCAGATTCGGTTGCGGCAACGGGAGGCAGATCGCGTTGTGGGGCCTAGTAAGACGGATGATTTGCGTATTAAGCGACCAAATGTATGGTTGACGTGTGCCAGATGATGTATGAAAGGCTGGTTGACAGGTGAAGAGGAAAAGGCGACGACCACAAAGAGTCGCGAGACGGCATGATTGCAAGCGCAAGGTCACGCCTAGTCTATAAAGGGCCCCGATACTGGCATAGTCATGAAATCAGAGCCCGCGCTCCACAACTAGCGTAGTGGCCTTGAACGGAGTTAGCAGTCGCCAATGAACGGCGAGGTCCGCTGCTGCATGATCTGGCGGTTGCTAAGCATCAGAGAATACACGACGCTTGCTCGGTGTCTGAACTTGCCCGACGAACCGAAACGCTGCGTATTACCACTCGCAATATGCCCTCGCATCCGCGGAGTGTGGCACAACAGAGTGAACGCCCTGTCCATGCGCACCAGTCTCGTCTTGTTCCGTCGCGAGTCATCCAGGCGGTGTCGTTTGGCCATGACACACAAGTTTCTTTTTCGCGTATTTTGTTTTCCGTGAAGCCAGAATCGACCGGTAACAAGGATGCGACGCCACTGCCTCGAGTGGAGCCGTCGCAGTATGTCTACCAAGGCTCCACCGCCGAGATGCCCATATCTTAATTGACCACAATGCCCCGTCATCTACTGAAGCCGCCTGTACTTAAGTGGTTCATATCGCGTACGTACCTACCAGGCCCCATACATGTGTATGCACAATACGAGGCACATTGTCATCCCCGCAGTGTGGGTGGTTCCGGATATCCTTGTACATTTGTAGTACTCATCGCAGTCGCGCCGCTGCCCCGCAAAGACCCCTATATAGTCCACCTGCATCTGGAAGTATCGTCCCGCCCTCAGCCCTGACAAGCAGCCGTCGCTCGGCCATGGCACCTCGTGTGTAACATGGCCATGAGGCTCCAATCGCCAGTGACGATGTTGGCTTTTGTAGAAAACGCTTCACCATCGACTCGGACGGAGTTTGCCAAAGTCCGGTGTCTGTAAGTATGTCGTTGAAAAAAACATGGACGGAAACTTTGAAAGACCCGACCGCGTGTTCCAGGAGCCAATGACAGAGATCCATGCAAAGTCTATGTAAGCCGCATGCAAACCAACCTAGGCACCGGCATAGCCATGGCCACGCTTGACCACTGCCTGCTGCCTGCTGCCTGCTGCCCCGTATGACGTGGGGCAACATGGCTGGATCCTCTATTTCCGGTCAAGCCAAGGCCATCGAGGTTGCAACTTGGTCCGTTCTTCTCAACATCGGTAAAGCACAGAGCTCGGCTTGAGTATAAGTCCCGAACGGGCGACGACCCGCAAGCTAGGTGTATTCTATCAATGCCCAATATCGTCTAGTAGCCGTTTCAGTCCCAATCATCCATGTGACTAGGTTCTAAAAAGAAACACCCAAACATACAATGTATGCGCTCGCGTACAACAAACGGTAACAACTACACTCGCACAAACTTCCACCAAGGGTATCCTAAACTTTGGTGCCGCACCTCCAACTAGTTCACTCCTCTGTAAACACTGGTATCCGGCCCAACCGGACACCTAAGAGCCTATTCCTCCATCTTGCCCTTCAGTGTAGGCAGCTCCTCCATGGCTTCCTTGATGATTGACAGGGCCGACTCAACCTCTTGTTCCGTAATGACCAGCGGTGGGGCAAGGCGGATAATATTCTGGTGTGTGGGTTTCGCCTGTCCGTCAGTGTCAGTACCGTCAACCTCTTTTACGTGCATAATCTTGAGGGCTCTTCCTACCAATAGTCCCTTCTCTTTGAAGAGCATGCAGAGATCCCAAGCGCTGTGTCCGTTGGTCCTACTCTCATCAATGACGATGGCATTCAATAAGCCCTTGCCCCGAATTGTCTTGATCATCGGGTTGTTAATGTCTTGAAGTCCTTGACGGAACTTGTTACCTAGTGTCTCTGCGCGCTCAATCATGTTTTCTTCTTCGACGAGTTCAAGCGCCCGGATCGCGACAGCGGAGCCGAGAGGATTGCCGCCATATGTTGAACCGTGGGTACCGGGCTCAATAGTAAGCATGACTTCCTTGGAACCCAGAACACACGAGACGGGGTACATGCCGCCGGAGATAGCCTTGCCGAGAAGGACCAAGTCGGGCTTAATACCACTCCACTCATGGCAAAGCATCTTGCCCGTTCGCGCGATGCCCGTCTGGATTTCATCACAGATGAGAAGCACATTGTGCTTGTCGCAAAGCGCCCTCACTTCGCGCAGATAGCTGTCGTCTGGGACCACAATACCAGCCTCGCCCTGGATGGGCTCGACGAGGAAAGCTGCAGTGTTCTTTCCATGCTTCTCTAATGTCTCACGAACATCGTCGACATTGTTGTAGCGAATCGGCTTGCCTGTGACAGGGCAGACACTTCCAATTCCAGGAAGGTATGGCCCATAGTTCTCACGAGACTCGGGGTCCGTGGACATGGTAATAGCAGCAAACTAACCTCTCGTTAGCTAAAGCGTGTGTGTAGGGACGCAATGATACGTACTGTCCGACCATGGAAATTTTCCTGCACAGAGAAGACCAACGCCTCATTCTGCGGAATGCCCTTGACTTTGTATCCCCACTTGCGGGCAATCTTGACGGCTGTCTCGACGGCTTCGGCGCCTGTGTTCATGGGCAGGATCATGTCAAAGCCAAACAGTTTTGTCGCATACTCGGCAAAGCGGGGGAAGACATCATTGTAAAATGCACGGCTGCTGAGGGTCAAGCGCGACGCCTGCTCAGTCAAGGCCTTGACGAGTTCCGGGTGACAGTGACCCTGGTTGACGGCGCTGTATGCAGAGAGGAAGTCGAGATAATGCTTGCCCTCAGGATCCCAGACACTGCAACCACTTGCTCTGGCAAACACTGGGCCTGGTCAGCTCAGGATACATGGCCTAGGGCTCACGAATACATACCGATGGGCAGAGGGTGGTAGTTGTGAGCTGCAAAGTCGGACTCGGACTTGATGGCCGCCTGTGACGATGCAGAGTGGTACCTGGCGGGGTCTGGCGTGCCGGTGGGGTGAAAGGAGCGGGCAGTTGGCTTCAAGGTGGTGCTGTTGCTGTTTGCACTGCTTGTGTCGTTCTGGACTGCGCCTGGAGCCATGGTGAATGGTGTATGTGTGAACGTGGGGTAGTGGGGAAGTATGTCCTGGGACGGGTTGAGGGAGCAACAAATGGGTTTGTGGGCAAAAGAGAAGAGCGGACCAAGCAGACTTCTTATTTCCTCGGTGGTTTGACTGCTGTGCCGTGAATCGCCTCCAACTGTACTTAGGAGATAGCCTCCGTAAGAACAACTGGTGCTATCGCCTCAAGATGCCTTTAGAGGAACGCGACCAACGAGCGCCTCGGTTGCGGGCGGGTCACCGCTATAGCGCCGCTGTCATTGGCTCGTGACCACGCGAGGCACGCTGGGCTGGACGTGGCCAAAACCATACTGAGGGGAAGTCTGGCGACGAGCGCGCAGATGCAATGGCAGAGCGAGTGAAGGGAGGTTTTGGCCCTGGATATCAAGTCGGCGCGTCTGTCCGCTAAAAGTTACCTGTTCGTAGTGGTGTCGTGACGCGTGCGCCATTTTCTCCGGCTGCTCGTGCAATCACAGCCTCCAAAGCTCCGGCTGGACGGTGACGCTGTCGGTTCGGATAGCCTTTTTTTCTGAGCATCACAGTCGCTGCCCCAGAGCCGTCAATATTTCCTACACACGTACCTGTGATTGCTTCTCGGCTGTCTGATACTTTGACATTGACGTTGGAACGTCAATTTCTGGCCGTACTGCAAGCGAATCCAGAGTGTACTGTCACATGACTTTTTACAGAGCGGCTCGCCGACTATGCTCTTCAAATATTCTTCATCACTATCTGCATAGCCCTTGCAAGTTGTTACGCCTTCCGAAAGCAGCCGCCATGTCCACAAAACTCCTCTTCAAAAAAGACCAGCCCGTACATTGGATCCTCGACTGGGACGGCACCATCACCAAAAGAGACACTCTAGACGCGCTCGTCAGTATATCGGCAGCAGAAAAACCTGACTTCCCCACCATGGACCACTGGAAATCCGTCTCACAAGCATATATGGACGACTACACCGCTACACTGAAACAGCTCATTCCAACCGGCGCTCTCCCGATAACCATAGTCGAGGAAAAACAGCTCCTACTTAGACTGAAACAAGTAGAGCAGCGCAGCCTTGACCGCGTACACTCATCTACTATATTCACTAATTTTACCCATCAAGGCATCGAATCAGGAGCCAAGCAGGTCATAGAATCAGGCCAGGTGCAACTTCGCACTGGTTTCCCTTCCTTCTTCAAGCACATCCAGTCACGTGAGGGTGACGCTTTTGCCATTCTGAGTGTGAACTGGTCTCGCCATTTCATTCATTCCTGCCTTGCCGCATCCAAGATCAGCGTAGCCTCGCACGCCATTCTGTCCAACGAGCTCGACGGCATATCCGCTGGGGTGCCCTCGTCTGGTCGCATCGTCGCTGCAGGTTCGCGAGAACCGGACCCCATTGTATCCAGCGGTGACAAACTGCAAATTTTTGAGCAAATGCACGAGGTAAACGCGCACAAAGTGTACATTGGTGATAGTTGGACGGATATCGAGTGTCTGCTAGCTGCAGACCTTGGTATCTGCATCCGCGATGATCCTATGGGTAGCTCGCAGAAGACGCTTGTCGAGGCGCTGACGAGGCTGGGAGTGGCATGCCCAAGGTTGAAAGATCGGAGGCAGCATAACGGGTGTGGTGTCGTATGGGCCAGGGACTTTACAGAAGTGCTTGAATGGATGGAGAATGGTTTGCAGTAATCATTTGTTGCAACTGAACCGAAATCAAACTATACTAATGCTACATTTCCTGACCGGGAAGATGACTCCAAAACGCACCTCGCTATGCGAATGAAATGATTCAGACCTCCGTCTCGATCTCGTCCCCGTTTCTTTCGTGGTGGTGAAAGATGTGTCCCACCTTCCTCTTTCCCCTATCACCCACATGCTTCATCCAGGCTAGCGTCCGCGGCCCCTTCCATTGCATGATTCCTCTGTTCTTGCGGTGTAGCGTCTTGTGAGATGCTTTATACTCCTTCAACTGTGTAATTGGGCCCCTGCCGCGGTCTTCACTCATCTTTGAATCCGTTTTTCTGTGTTTTTGAAGAAAATCAGGCACCATGTTACCACTGTCGTCCTTGACGTCTTCATCGTGTTCTTCTTCCTCATCGTCAGATGAATCGGAGCTGTCGGAGCTGTCTTCTTCAGTATCCTTGTTGTCGTTGATACCAGGTTTCTCCGAACCGTCCGATTCCTCCCAGTTGGTCCATTCTTGGTCATTACAAGTGTCCAGCACTTCCATGACGTTGGTAAGATGCTTGTCGCCCTTTGCCAGCTTCTCATGATATCCAGATAGACCAGACCACATTGTCAGTGTGACTTCGATCTCGCCTACCTTTTCACCATATGAATCGAGTACGTTGCCTTCTGCGCGTTTCAAATCGCCTTTCCAGATAGCAAGACGTTTTGTTTGCTCCTCGTTGTCCGGAATATCCTTAAGCCAGAAGATGCAAAACGCATGTGTGCGATCTCTCAACGTCGCATCCTGTCTAAACTCGAAAATCAACGGTGCACAGTAGCGTGCGCGCACGGGCAAGCGGATCGGTCGGCTTTTTCTTGTAGTCCAAACAGGCTGGCCATCCTCGGAGCGGACATTACCTTTACGTCTGCGTGAATGCAACTTTCCATGGTCCAATGGAGTACGAACCTTGAGCCTGAGGGGCCCTATGTCGCTCGGAACATCGACACCCTTGATATAGGGTTTGATGTCCACAGTTCCATAATCCCAGCCACGCAGTTCCCGCGGAAGTTGGACCTGCACACTTCGGAAAACCATTGAGACGCGCATGCGTCCATAGCCATTTCCCCCAGCAAGCGGGAATATGGAGTTAATCTGGCTGCGCTCTTTGAACACTCTCTCCAATGGAAGATACACAATGCCTAGCAAAGCATCATCTTCATGAACGCGAGCATCGCGGACAGCAATATGCACTTCAGTGTTACGCACATCTCGAATGAAGCGCTCACATCCAGCGTTGAAAAAGGGCTTCGAGTTCTTTGGCTTGGTCCGGGTTTTGAAGACTTTCTTGTGGTTGAGGATGATGTTGCAATATGCCGAAGGAAGATCGTCACCCTCTTCTTCCTCGTCAGTAGCCTCCGCCGAAACTTTCTGCTTGTTCAAAGTTTCCAGTTCCAATCCGGTAATCTGATGGATCTGGATGCTAAGAATGCCGGATGGATAGTCTTCAGAAGGTGGGGAGGCAATGATGAGTTCATCTTGGCGGCTTTTGAAATCTTCAGCTTTCTGCTGTTCCACCTCATTTCGATGATCCTCGCTTGCCTCCCGAAGCTTGCCTTCCGCTTCCTTATATACCTTATCTTTCAGCTGTTGTATGGTTTTTACGTCCGGGTCCTCCTCTTGCATAGTTAGCTGGTCGTCGGTAATTCTAGTTTTCGAAAAGTAGCCGACACTCCAGCTCAGTTTTCCAGGCATACCTTGCCCAGCCTTTAGAGCATGGAAGCCGTCTTCGCGATCGTGCATTCTGCCATTGGTCTCATTACTCTTCATCAGGTCTTTGAGATTCAGCTCAATACGTCCGAGGTCATCGTCAGCGGTCATGCGATCGGAGTCCCATAATTGAAGTCTCAGCTTTTCGTCAACATTCAGCTCGTCACGAGTGACACAAACGAAGCACCACTCATCCCAATGGGGCTCCATATTCGATTTTAAGACACGCGTGGACCAGAGTGGCTTGCCAAATTTGGCCCAGCCTACACTGACATAAGGATCGGCGGAACCACCCCAGGGACCGATCTTTGTGTCTCCCTCCTTGAAGTCGAAAGCATGTTTGACGTGCACCATGATTACGCCCTGTGCGACCGTGTCCTTCTTGAAGTCGTCTCCCATCATCATATCTTTGAGGTCCAGTGTCAAAGACTTGGGTGCGACATATTCGGCTAGGGCGGCGTCCATGGACGATTGAACGAATTTGGAGATTAGAGGGACATCCATGAGATTAGGTCCCTTTTTAATGAGTGGGACGCAAGACAGGGCCACTTTCGGCTGACCCATGAAGGCCATGGTGCAAATAGAAAAGAACGGAGGATCTGGGCATAGCTGTAGACGAAAGCGCATAACGCCAACCATGCCCGCAAGGTCAACCCAGACAGCTTTACAATGTTAGCAAATTACAAAAGTTCGTCACGGCCTAACTTACGTAGCTTAACGTTTCCTGGTAGGTAGAAAGCCAGCAGTAAATGTGCGTGCTTTGCGCGTGTCTTGACACCTTGTCCTGTTGAGGGTCTGTACGCGAATGCAATTTCCAGGTTGACAAAGTCGCCATCTTCAGCCTCCATGGTATCATGACCTGGTATTCCATCTTCGCCTTCTCCATCGTCTGGCACAGTACGGTCGTCTTTCTCTTCATCTGAAGATTTAAGATTCCCATCAGCGCCCACTGATCGAGCAGCTGCTCCCGTTGGTAGCCAGCGAACACCAAGAATACGAAGAGCTTCGCTACCCTGACCAATATCTTCGACAGCCACCATACGAACCATACTAGGAAGAGAAGCTTGCATTACATCCTGTGGTTGTTAGTTTGAGAAATCGCCACGTGTATGTTTATACCCACCTCAAGCGTATCGGAGATGCTCGTGAATAGATCGGGGTTGATTAAAGGCCATATTGATGCAAAGAGTGAGTTCAGCCATTGAGTGCTTTCAGCAGTCTGGGTTTTGGCCAATTCTTGACCACGTTCCCGCTCTGCTCTCCAAACTTCCACATCCCATACATTCTTAATCTTGTTCTCTGACCATTGGCGCATGAACAGGATAATGGCTCCGGACACCGCTGCCATCGTACTGAGCTCAGTGAGCTTAAGCAGCTGTCTTGTCCAACCTGTGGAATGATGTGTTGGCCAGAATAAGGCATTAACCAACATTAAACTAACGGCTGCAGCACCCACGCCAATCGTCACAGCGTGCATGTAGACTGTGGAAATCTCATCTCGCGTTCGGTCAAAGGACGGAGGGGGAAACAAAACCTCCATGCCTGCATGGGCTTCTTGCGATTCATGGCTTTCGACTTGCAGTTGCTCGTCACTTTTATTAATGGCATTAGTGCCGGTCGCTGCCCGAGGATCTGAGCCGGGTGGTGATGGGTTCTTTGCAGTGCTTTTCAGCTCTCGATCGGTGAAATCGTGAACTTTAATGGGCAGATGGGTAATTGGGTCGGTAACCAAGCGCTCCGTGCCATCGGCCTTGAAATGCTTCATCTGTTTGCGGGCTTTTCTAGGGTTTGCTGATTTCAGCCCTCCTTCTGTCGTGTCTTCCGCCTCTTGCTCGTCATCCATATCCTGGGGTGCATCTCTGTGGTCGTTGCTGGGTACTGTCTTGCCAGCATGATCTTCAGCAATTTCGTCGTCTTGCGGAAGATTTTTGTTTGTAGCTGGGTACGGCCCGTTTCCATCATTGGCCTCTTCTACGTCTTTTCCAAACCTGAAGACATCTACAGCGTCGCCGAGCCGATCGCGTTTGCTTGGTTCATTGCTCTCGCCACCTGGGTTCCCGTACGCTTGCTGCCTTCTCTGCTTCTCCTCGCGATACTTCTGGACTGTAGGAATTGGGTTGTGTGCACTATGTGGCCGTCGATAGTCCCTGTGTTGAGCGTCTACGTCGTCCACGCCGGACATGTTGAGACGTTTGGCAATAATATGTGCTGTCGGCCGGTGTGCTCAAGTAATGGGAGCAAAGGTGAGAGGGATTCGTCGCGAATACATCTGTATGTCTGACTGCCAGGAAACAAGGAACGCGTCGATGCCCTGAAACCCACAATAGCAGCTCAGCATTCGTGTGCACGACAGGGGAGAGTTTCCCTTTTCTTCACAGTTGACGTAGGTACGCGCCTGAGTTTCCACGACATTGGCCACACCACGCCCATGTAGCTCCACTTTGTGCGCCAGCGCCACACCACCTATGACTGCGGCGCCGAAGAGCCGTTCGTGCTTTTGGGAGTGGCAGAGCGATGACGTCGCCACAATCCGTCACACCACGTAAAGCCACTCCTGGTGCGGGGACTGCCAAGTCTCTGCCCATCGGCCCCACTCGGCCCTCCGTCTCTACCACCAGGTAGCTGTCAGGTATGCCTTGTTTTAATATATACTTCTATATAACGGCACCGAGCATATCAGACATGAAACGGAATGGTCGCATTCGCACCAGGGGTATCAATTGCAAACTATCGTCACGCTGTGAGTAGCCTCTCATTTAGTTGCTCCAAATCCGCACTTGCTTGTCTGCACCACCGCTCCCGACTCTCTCTCCGTCCGGACTCCAGTCTAGCGCAAACACCTGGTCTTTGTGTCCTGGCAAGTCTTCCTTCAGCTTCCTGGTTCTCATGTCCCACACCTTCAATGTCGTGTCTTTGCTGCAGCTCGCCAGTAGCCGGCTATCAGCAGAGAAGCACGTCATATATACAGGACCGACATGTCCTCTGAGGGTGTCGATGAACTTTCCATCTCGAGCTGACCACAATTTGACATGATTATCCCAAGCTCCCGATGCTAACATGGAACCATCGGGCGAGAAGGTTACTTGGTTGATCTGCTTCTGATGGCCGGTCATCCTATTCACGGGTTTCGTGCTTGTCAGGGGTGTCCATAGTATGATTGTGCAGTCTTCAGAGGCAGTTGCCAAGCGCTCTATTACTTCACCGTTGATCGTGGCGGCTTTCTCGAATCTTGCTTTCGCTTTGGCAAGCTTCTCTTCTTGTGTGGCTGGCACCTTGCGCGTATGATCGTGATACGAGGTTCTCAGGACGAAGTCCGTGGAGAGGGCAAGGTGATTGACCCAATGCGCGTGGCCTTGTAGCGTGTTGATCAATGTGCCTTTTGCTGCGTCCCATACCTTGATGGTCTTGTCGTGAGAGGCAGTATACATCCGTCCAGTACCACCCCATTTTACGCAAGTCACGTTGCCCTTGTGACCTGACAGTGCGAAATCAATTCTGTTGCCTATTGCGTCCCACACTCTTACGGTACCGTCCTTGGATGACGATGCTACTCGCGGTCGGCCGGGCTCTTGCAAGTGATATGGTTCCCAGGAGAGGGATGTGATGAAGCCAGTATGGCCCTTGAGCGGGCCTCCAATCTGCTTTCCCGTGTTTGGGTCCCATATCCTCACCTCTCTGTCGTATCCACCAGATGCTAGCAGGGAGCCGTCGGGTGAGTAGCTGACAGCCAGAACCCACCCCGAATGTCCTTTCATCGTATGAACTGGTGTGCCTGTGTCACAATCCCATACCCTGACTGTCTTGTCTCCACTTCCACTCGCCATCCTGCTGGAGCTGACTGGCGAGAAGTTTATGGACAAGATGTTGTCGCCATGTCCTGACACAGCTGCTGAGCACCGCGAGACCGCTTTGACACGGAAAACAGCTTGTGGCGCATATTGGAGTACTATCTCGGCTTCTGCTGATGCCTTTCCTGGCTTAACTAGCGCGTTGTACAGATCATCCTTGTCTGCAAGCGCTTCAGTCGTACCGTCAGGAAAGAACCGATACGGTATTTGGTCGTCTGCCTGGTCTTTTAAGTTGTTCAGAAGCAGCTCCAGATTCTTGGTCGACGCCTGCGATAATGGGACAGTAAGAACGGGGAGATTGCCGCTTTCGCCTGTGGCCTGGTCCACGAAGCGCACTCGCACTGTGCCATCGGGTATGGAGCTGTCAATGTCTTGTTGTTGTCGCGCGACTTCGGCTTGCGCTCGCTTCTGACGCTTCGACGGAGGTGGATATAGGGTCGCCATAGCTTGTGCAGTTTTCCAGGTGTGACTGAGGAGATAATAAACACAGCCTGCCCGAATTGTATGAACTTGAAGAAGCCCCACTGGTTGAAGAGCGCTCGAAAATAATTTCTGGTGCTATCGATAACGACCGCGCTAGTAGGTATTAGTACCAAAAATACGCGCTAAGCATTCTCCCCACTTCTCAACGCGTCTTCCAATACCTCTACTCCATTCATGTCAACTCATTACCAGCCGTGTCTAGTCAATCAGGCAGTTTTCACATACCAATACTTTGCTGCTGACTACATAGCACTAACCACCATGACTCAGCGATCCAAGCCACAAACTTCTCAGAGTACCTCTGGGTCCACATCGTATGGCTATGCTGGCTACGATACCACTACAGCGTCACGGCCAGGAACTCGCAGGAACACTGGCAGGCCCTCTACTGCAAGGCCTAGGACTGGTGTTTCTACTATTGCTAGGGTCGAAAACCAGCATGTTGTCTGTGCCGTTGCCGAATCTCGTGGCATCTCACCTACAGTCGGCTTGGCCTTTGTGAACCTTGACACAGCAGAGGCAGTGCTCTGTCAGATCTGCGACAGCCAGACCTTTGTTCGGACAGTTCACAAGCTGAGAGTATATGGGCCTTCAGAGATCTTGATTGTGTCGACTGCTGCAAGTCCAAAGTCGAAGCTCTTCTCTATCATCGAGGAAAACCTTGAGGATATTGGCAGTAAGCTAACATTACTTGATCGCCGCTACTGGGCCGAATCAACTGGGTACGAGTATATCCAAACTCTAGCCTTCAAAGAAGATGTCGAAGCCATCCAGATTTCCGTCGCAGGTAACTATTACGCTGTATGCTGCATTGCGGCTGTAAGTTCTTCGGTGCACTTCCGACTACGTGAAATAATCAAGCTCGCAGGCGCTCAAGTACATTGACCTTGGCTTAAGTATGGTATTCGCCTTGCACTCACTCAGGATGCGATACGAGCCTTCTGAGGGATCTATGATGATTGATGTGTCGACCATCCATTCGCTTGAACTGGTCCAGAATCTTCGTGACCCCAAATCCAGGAACTGTTTGTTCGGTTTAATCAATGAGACTTTGACACCAATGGGTGCACGCCTGCTGCGTAGCAACATCCTGCAGCCGCTCACTGACCCCGAAGTACTCAGTATGCGATACGCTGCTGTAGACGACATGACCAAGAAAGAAGAGCTGTTTTTTGCTGTCCGCGCTGCATTAAAGAACTTTCTTGATGCCGACCGGATACTGACAGCGTTGATTGTTACACCAAAGAAGCTTACTCTTCATACCACAGAGCAAGCCATCAACCAAATCATTATGCTCAAGCAATTTGTCAACTCTGTGAACCCTATCTACGAAGCTCTCACTGGAACAGCCTCTGTTATGCTCAACAACATCCGCGAGCTCTGCGCGCCAGAGAATGTGGCCGTTGTACAGGAACTGATTGATATTGTCATCAATGAAGACACTACCTACGCAAGGCAACCCCTCGAACTCAGAAACCAACGAACATATGCTGTGAAATCCGGCGTCAACGGGCTCCTCGACGTTGCACGCACTACTTATAAGGAAGCCACTGAAGATGCATTTCAACACTCGACCGAGCTCAGTCGTATGCCAATGCATCTTCGAATACGTAGATGTGTTTGCTAATCTCAAGCAGAGGAATACGACATCAAGTTAGACTTGAAATATGAAAATGCCCGTCAGTTTTACATTAAGATTGCCTTATCAGAGCTTGAAGATAAGGCGTTACCTCCAGTTTTCACGAATATAATTCGTCGCCACAATCATATTGAATGCCAAACTGTGGAGTTGATGAAGCGCAATCAGAAGGCACGCATCTACGGATACCAAACTCGTACATGCTAACGATTCGAAGATCAACCTGTCACATCAGGAAGTGATTCTCATGAGTGACTATAGTTATCTGCCTACTCTTCTATGTCACTACTAAAATCGTGCAGGCGACGAAGCCGTTGGAGATCTTACCGAACAAGTACGCAGCCACGTGTCGATATTGTTCAAGGTTTGTGAAGCTGTAGCAATGCTGGACATGGCAAGTCTTAGTCGATGTCTTACCACGATCAAGAACCTGATTGATTACAGATTGGAGCATTTGCGCATCTTGTCACGGTGAATAACTATAGTAGGTGCTAGGCTTATTTTGATGTACAAACTGATAAATTTTCAGTACAACCACAACTCACTGACACATTCGCTATTCAGTCTGGGCGCCACCCTATCAAAGAAAAGATCATGCAAACCAAATTTATTCCAAACGACGCCTACGCTACACAGCAGACTCGTTTTCAGATCATCACTGGATGCAATATGAGCGGCAAAAGTACCTACATTCGGTCCCTGGCTCTCATGACTATCATGGCTCAGATCGGTTGCTAGTAAGTGATAACTCTTTCGATTCGTTCATTGTAGTCACTTACTGTATGCAGTGTTCCTGCGAATTATGCATCCTTTCCAATACTTCACCAGCTATTTGCCAGGATCGGAACCGACGGCATCATTGAAAGCAACGTTTCAACATTTGCGGCTGAGATGAGAGAGATTGCTTTCATCTTACGCAACGCCGACCAACGCAGCTTGTATGAAATTAGTCATTATCACACTAGCGTTACTGATCCCATTTTAGAATCATAGTTGATGAACTTGGTCGTGGCACAAGCACAAGAGATGGTCTAACTATTGCTTTGGCTATTGCGGAAGCTCTTCTATCTAGCAGGGTAAGCGCACAAATATAGCCACTTATCGAGATTAACTTTTTTTTTAGGCTCTCGTATGGTTTGCGACTCACTTCAAGGACCTCGCTACTATCATGAGTGAGCGTGCTGGAGTCTTGAATCTGCATCTAGCGGTTGATGTAAGTATTTGCGTCCTTATCAAAGCACCAGCTTACCATTACAGATTCAAGACGAGCATAGCATGACTATGCTCTACAAAGCAACGCAGGGCGTCGCCAAGGAAGTGCACTATGGTCTGGCGCTTGCTCGTGTCGTCCCATTACCTCCGGGTATCGTGGAGCATGCTACAAACGTCGCGCGCAAAATTGAGCGCCACATCATTCGAAACAAGAAAGTATCGGAAACGGTACTCAAAGAAAAGCGACGAAAGCTTATTCTCAACCTCAAAGAGCACCTGGTTCAGGCGTACAACGGTGTATTGGAAGGAGAAGTCCTCTCTGCATGGCTAAGTGAATTACAGAAAGAGTTTGTGAACCGTATGACTGCTCTGGAGGCTGAAACCGCAAGTGTACACGATGATAGCAATGATGATACGGATGAGAACATGAGTAATGGGGATACATACGATGAAGGGGAACCGAGCACGCATGCTAGGCAGCCGTCGGTCATATCGATTGATTCGCATGTTACATCGACCGACTCCGAGTCTACAGTTCGAGGAATTTCTGAAGTATCGACTGTACGTGCAGTTTCAGAAAATGAATGCTAGTAAAATGGGCTCTACCATTGGCGCTTCAAGGCCGTGATAGGCAAGCAGGTTCATGGTTCAAGTTTCGATGTCGCGCCACCAGCACGGACGGAGTGGCGTTTCGGGATGATTCTCAACGTATAACTATGTCGCATTTGAACCAGGAGAGCAGAAAATCTTGAACATGTGGATGCACAGATGTCGAAAGTACACGAAGACACTTTCAGTAATGAACAATATCTGATCGAGCAAATTAAAACCTCGACCTTCTCAACGTTCCCGCCCTCAAGCTTGCCGCTAAGTGTGCTCTCAATATAGTACACAAAAATAAGCGTAGTTTTATTTTGGACGTTTTCGCTGCTATCAACTTATCTGGTTCTTCTTACTCGCGCCCATAACCATGCATCTATCCAAGATTTTCATCAAACCCCAACTGCTCGCACGTCAATAAAAACGTCTACGGTCAATTGATTTATCGACTGATAACCAGATCAAAGCTACTGACTGAGGTTCTCTGTTTTTTTTTTGTTTTTTTGCTGGAGTGAGATAGCTTGAGGCATGACATGCAGCAGTGCAAAAAGAGAGCGGGCTAATCAGTGGGATTTTCCCTTGACCAACCCGCAACAAAACAAAAAAAAGTCATAACGTTGCAATCGAGAGAAGGATGTTATGCATCCTCCGGGAGTCGAACCCGGGCCAATTGCTTGGAAGGCAATTATCCTACCGTTGGACCAAGAATGCTTGATGGAAGAAAGGAAAATTTAGTCATATATAAAGACTAGATCTATCATAATTCCTAAAGACGTCTCGTCATCCAATCTCGGGGGTCTAACAAAAACGCGTTTGTGAATTGGCAATAGTGGGTCTTAGCCACGTCGGAAGGATCTCCACCAGCGCGTCGTCTAGCGGCGGTTGTGCATTGAACCCCTGTCTAGGCGTGCACAAGTCCGGTGAAGGCAGTGCTGGGCGAGACCTTCTTCTGTTCCCATCTTGCAGGGTTAATATTCAGTAGCCGCGTTTGATGTATGTTTCCTTTTTCCTATAGTTTAGATGCAAACCTAGGCACCATAGATACTTTGTGGTCTGGGTGATTCTTGAACCACTCGTTCATAGAGTGCACGTAATCCATCACCTTCTGCCACTAAGTACCATGATTTCGAATACGATAAGAAATTCAGCTGTGCCATGTTGATTGTACGTGCTTTAGTTTACGACAAGTACGTGCTGCCGACTTTCCAATCCTCAAACTCATAGATCATTACATGTATTCCATGCTCAGTTCGGTTTGCACAACACAAATAAGTTGCAAAGAAATCCGTCCCTGAAAGTGTGAGTATTCGCGGTTGTAACAGGTTTGTATCCAATGAATGTACAAGAAGTACGGATCTTCGGAATTGTCGCTTTCAAGGCTGATTCACACCTCAAGAACACATGATTGCGTGCTCACCTAACTACATATACCACGCTGCGCTACATGTAACCCTGCAAACTCATGGTAGATCCGTGGTGCATGCGAAGAGGATACGTCGACAATACCCAAAGTAAAGTTTGTGCCAGCCGACACCGCCTTTGTCGCACTCATCCAGCCGCAGCACAACGCGGGGCAATGGTTGGACGTCATCTTGCGACAGAAAAAACATTCCGAGGCCGCATATCGGCACGACAGCGGGGACTGTAGTCATTGACGCGTCTGGACTTATCAAACATCTAACAAATATGTATTATACATACATACATTCACAACCTCATTCGGTGGGAGGAAACTAGCCAGTGGGCCACACGTGTAGCCTATTGTACCCCTCATTGAGTCACTTTGCAAATTGCCTAGCCTCCCCCACGAACGAGCCGCGGACGGCGCATGTTTTCGCGCATCAACCGACACTTGCTGTACACGAAACACGAAGACAGAAAAAACCACGCAAGACGTGTGCATCTTACACCCTAAACCTGTCCTATATTCTACGAGCCTGTTCGCCAATCCCACTTCGCCGTCGACGCAGGGATCCTGCGTATGATCTAGACTGTTACCCGCAAGAGCACATCTTTCTGCATCTCCCATTTTTTTTGTTCCTAAGCACGATAGCTTGCATCGCGCATTATACTGCGCGTGGATTTGTATACTACCCTTACGACGAATCCCTGCTGGTCAATTGCGTGCTTGTGCACACTCAGAGTGGAAAAGAATGGATCTCGTTAACTCGTATGTCGGTCCTACTACTTTCGTTTCCCCCTTCTTCCCCCTTACTTTCCCTGTTGCTACTTTCTTAGAATTGCTCTTGGTCTAGCTTGCCGCAAATATGGGCTTCTTAGTTGGCGTCAATGGTACATTGGATGAAGTCGCGCATAGGCCGCGACAGGGTAGTCGGAGTCTTCCTTTTATGACTGACCTTTTGGGCAACAGTTTGAATGACCGCCTTCTCTTCGCGGTTCCAAAGAGTACGTTTTGTTGTGTTGTATCAGATTCCACTCAATCGCGCATATACTGATGTCTCCTCGCAGAGGGCCGCCTCCACCAAGCCTGTCTCGATCTCCTCCACGGCTCAGACATCCAATTCCACCGCCACTCGCGCCTCGATATTGCGCTCGTCAAGAACCTCCCGCTAGCGCTCGTCTTCCTCCCTGCCGCTGATATCCCCACCTTCGTCGGTGAAGGCCGTGTAGACCTAGGCATAACTGGCCGCGACCAAGTCGCAGAGCACGAATGTGTCACCCCACCCACCGCCACGACCGGCGTCGACGAAGTGCTAGACCTTGGTTTCGGAAAGTGCAGTCTCCAAGTTCAGGTCCCCGCCAAAGGCGACCTGACCAAGCCTGAAGACCTTATTGGAAAGAACGTCGTTACGAGCTTCACCAACCTCGCAGAGCAGTACTTTAGAAAACTGGAAGCGGAGCAGGCCGGTACCACAAACGGCGAGACTAACGGAGATGCAAAGCTAAAGACGGTCATCAAGTATGTTGGCGGCAGTGTCGAGGCAGCATGCGCATTGGGCGTCGCCGACGGTATTGTCGATCTAGTAGAATCAGGCGAGACCATGCGTGCTGCGGGTCTCAAAGCCATATCTACAGTCGTTACCTCGAGCGCCATCCTCATCAAGTCGAAACACCCCTCAGACCCTAAGCTCGTGGACCTCATCACGGCTAGGATAAAGGGTGTTATTAGTACGTTTTCATCCCCCCACCCCCCTTCCCAAAAGACAAAAAATATAATTGGAGAAAAAGAAGATCTAACAATGTTACAGCGGCGCAAAAATATGTGCTTTGCACATACAATGTTCCCAGGTCAAAACTCGATGCTGCCCGCACAATCACCCCGGGCCGTCGCGCCCCAACGGTAAATGCGCTTGAGGAAGATGGATGGGTGGCGGTTCAGGCTATGGTGCTGCGCAAAGACATTGCCATTGCCATGGATAAGCTGACCGAGGTCGGAGCAACCGACTTGATTGTGACAAAGATTGAGAACTCGAGAACGGGAGATTGAGCGATTTCGTATCGATTCCCTCTTTCTTGTTTTGTAGACGGATTGTAGAAAATAGAATATATGGGCATTGCAACCACATTTTCTTTTCTTTCCTTTTCCACGTAAATTTGCATAAACAGAAATCAGGAAGGCGAGGCTGATGGGGTTTATTTGAAGCAAGGAAAAGCACATGTTCGCTGCTTTCCCTTCTTGTATGGGTCCATCTAACACTCCTTTGTATGGAAGAGACAATCATAGTGTCTTGGGCGGAGCAATCTTTTTTTTTGGAGACGACACATGAACAGAATGTAAAAAGGATCATGTTAATCTGTGTATATGATAAAGCCAAAACATGTCTACATGCGTGCAACCTAAGCTGTTCTGGACCCCATGAAGCAGACCGTATACCAGACAAAAGAAAAGAGCAAAGTAAAGTGAAAAATGCCAGAGGGATCAAGAAAATTGCTGCGCTCATGTCTGTAGACTCGCGCGTGCGAACCGCAAGGACAGTGCGACAAAGCGGTGAATGCCTACAATTGGACGTAAGGCATGTTGTATGCAGAAAGGTGTATGGGTAGAAGAACGGCAATACGCCTCACATGAAGTCATCACTGCAGGATTGTGTTAGCCCACCCACATGTATACATGCAAGGAAACATCAACGAAGAACTTACTCGCCAAAGTCATCATCGTCATATGCCCGGGTATCTGCCTTCAAACCAACATCACGACTCGCGTTGAGCGTCGTCTTTGTCTTTGCCGCCTTTGTCTTCTTTCCTCCCTTCTCGGCCGCCTTCTCCTCCTTCATCTTCTCGTTGCTCAGCGTAGTCAAGCCAGAGGCAATCTTCTTGATCTGTTCGCTAGGCAGGTCCTTGGCAATCTGCTTGGTGAACTCTTGCAGGAAGAGAGTGTACTGCCCTTTCTTAGAGTTGGCAGCGATCAGGGGAGTGAGCGTCTCGCGTAGCTTGGTGAACTGGTCCTTGGTGTTTGGGTTGAAGATGGAGAGCGAGGAGAGGTTGATGGTGTTGTTTGGGTCGCTCTCGTCCGCGATTGTGACAGCCTTGCCGCTGCGCTTGTTGCTGACGGTCAGGTCACCAAAGAGCTCCTCAGCCTGGGCACGCGAGCCGTCGATTTCTTGTTGCCGTAGTCTTGCACGACGTTCGGCCTCAGTTTCTTCTTCTTCGCTCTCTCCCTCATCTTCCATCTGCCGTCTGCGCAGGGCAGCTTGTCTGTGCTCTTCAATTCGTTGCGCCTTGGACTTGTGGTTTGCCTTTGCCTCTGCATCTGCCTTTGCCTTTGCCTCGGCGGCCTTCTTCGCCTTTTCACGCTCGACTTCAGAGTCTTCTGCGGCGTCCCATGATTCTAGCACCTGTTGGGTATGCAGTCAGCATGTGCAAGATGTGTATGGCGGGGTTGGAAATTATGCGAGCGCGGGGCAGGGAGGGATGACACACATCTTCCTCTTCTTCGTCTTCAAACTTGCTGCGGCGAGCGATGGGTGCTACGGTTGGAGATGGAGGGCTCGAGCTCTCTTCTTCATCATCTGGGACGTTGTGAGCGAAGGGTCCTGTAGAGGTCCATATTGAAGCGCAGGCGCAGAAGCAGCGAATATGACGTACCCCACTTTCCAGGCGCCATGACTGTGGTTGGTATATAAGATCACGAGAAATTTGCGTTGTGTGGGTAGCGTATGCAATAAGTCCTACCTGCAGCTGTGCAGTGATATACTGGTAAATTGTTGTGGGTGAGGGAAGTCTCTCTCAAGGTTTGACTGCGTCGCAAGACAGTGGTTGGGCTCGGCCACTGCGCGTGGCTCGCTTCTAAAAATTACCTGAGCCACATGGCTTACCGCCCAATCATAGTGGCACAAGCCACACACATACAAGACACTCTACTCGAGTACGTGTGTTTCGATGACCAAGAGCGTGGCTGAATATGCGCGGCGTGATTGGAACGGCTACATACAATCATGCATGAGGCACACTGCCTTTGTCACCAAAAAAAAAGCAAAGTTCCACAGGACCCGTTTGGTAGACACTGCATATACCAAGCTTTTCCATGGTTCCTCAAAGTACCACAACCCTATATACCCTATGTGAAGAAAAAGAAAACAAAGAATTAAAATGCGCATCGATGTTACAAGTATGACAGCAGCTTGAAGAGTAAATTAAAACAAGCAACTAAAGCAAGTTCTAACTCTCACCAGCGTCCCACGGCCTCCAAAACTTCCATCCTTCTCTAACTTCTCCATAGCCCTTCCGTTGTGAGCTGTTAACACCAACCAGTCTCTCGATTCCAACGTTGCCTTCAGCATTGAGGAACTTTTCCTGGTCAATTTCCTCCCCACCCTCCTCTTCGTTTCCATTGTGCAAAACAGCCGGCCAAAGGATACCAACACCATCGCCAGCCAGTGTCGTCTCAAACTTCTCGAATCCTTCATTCTCCAGCTTGACCTCGAGCGAATCGAGGATCTTGTACTTCATCTTGGTGCTAGTTGAAATGACAGAGGCATTGCAATCTTCATCTGGTTCAGATGCGGTATCGGATTTGTCAGAGTTTGTGTCCGGTTGGTGGTCGTTTGCGAGGGCGAGTGGTTGCGGCTTGAGAATGGTAATGGCACAGCCTCCACCTCCTGCTCCCGTGAGCTTTGTCCAGCCAATACCGGTGTGATCGATGATTTCTCGGATGCGCTCGAGTTTTGGGTGGGAAACGCCTAGTGAAACGAGCAAGCCATGGTTGATGGTTACCAGTTCACCGAGATGCCTCAACGCTTCAATTGATTCTGAATCAAAATCTGGGGATGTGAGGAGCTTGTGTGCGGATTCGGTGACGGAGCCTATTGCGTCGAGAATGCTCTCTGCGAGGATGGGATGCGCTTTGCGGAGGTTGGCGACTTTGGCGACCTCGGTAGCTGTGCTGCGCGACTGTCGCGTGTTGACAAGCAAAAGAGGTAGCTCTGGGAAACTGTGTAGTGGTTGGACGAGCGGCGGCTGGCCGTAATCTCTCCGTTGGAAGAGGACTGCCTTGCCGCCCGAGGACACTGTATTATCGACTCCAGAAGGGTTCCCGTGTATGCACATTTCACCAACAAATGCCCATCGGTTGATGCGCTCTATGTTAAGCTCACATTCTTGTGCAGGTTGATCTTGATGGGGCCCGCTCAGAGCCCGAATCTGTAGAAGCAATGCGGTACTGAGACACACTGATATACTGGCGCTGCTGCCCAAGCCAGCACCGATTGGAATGGTAGAACGTAGTGTATAAATACAAGGAGGAACTTTGCGCGACGCAAGCGAGAGGAAGAGGTATAGGAAGGAGGTGGCCGAGGCGTGGTGGATTTTTCGTATCGACTCAGGAGCAGCGGGAGACACTTGGTCTATGAAAGGTTGTATGGCGGCCATCAGATCGGGATCTAATGAATCTACGAGTTCGTAGTAGTGCTTCTTCTTGCCCGGCTTGCTGAACGCGTCCCATGGTAGTTCGTCAATGTTCCACGTGTGCTCCATCTGGATATCGGGAAAGCGCAGCTGCACGGTACGGTTCGACTTTGAAAGAAACGAGACATGGAGATATGAGCGGAGAGATATGGCAGCCGCAATGGCGGCCTGAGAGACATCAGCACATGAGCTCGTAAACGTGTTTGGAACTGCCGAGTTGTACCTTTCCATAGACAACGGCATGTTCTCCATATACAATGACTTTGCCTGGCGCTGACACCATGAAAGGAGGCATCATGGGCGCCGACTCCTTCCTCGTGGGCACAGGGGCGCCATTCCTCGACGCGAGAGAGGGCATGTTAGGGGCCAATTGCGCGGGCATAGAGTCGAAGGACGAGGCGTCGAGTACAGAGGGGGCGTCGGGGACCGAATCTATAGGCGGGGCGTCGGTTATATACTCTGTAGACGAGGCGCCGAGCATATGCATGGAACGCCGTGTTGTAAGGGTGAAGGCTGACTGCGCCAAATGTTAACCATGGCCTACTACCGACTCGGGGATTCGGCTGCAGCGGACCTTACCGGAAACGCCCAAGGGCCGACTACGCATGCGTTTATTCGCCGATGCAGTCAAGAAAGAGAGAAAGAGAGACGGAAGGTGAGACGAGAATGTGCCGAAGAAAAGAAAGCAACTAGGGCTGGCCGTTGCGAGGGTTAAACGGGGCCCTGGATATACATATATGCATGTCGTGTAGTAGTAGACCGGTTCGAGCAGCGCGCCATAGTTGCCCAGGGTGGACGAGGTCATTGTACATTGCCCTCGTCCCACCACGGCTTAGCGCGCTGGCACGGGGTCCGCCATGCAGGAACTGACGCGGCTTGCAGCTCATCCCTGGTTTCTGGAATCGCCCTATCGCAGGTTCGACGTTTATCATCCCTTCACTGCAACTGTATGCCTTCTTCGCTTAGCGCCTGTCTGGCTTCGCTGGCTTCGCTGGCTGCGGTTCCGGTTGCGGCTACATTTCTGCCGCAGAGGGAATTGACAAGCCTTTAACCTCGAGTAGGATTCCGGGCCTCTGAGTGCCAAGATGCAGTAAACCATACCTGCTTGCGCCGTGAAACGAGGGGAAAGGCAAACCATCGTAGAATACCACTAAAAACGCTACCAGCTTCTAGTCGTAATGGAACCTACCTATGTACATGGACACCCCTCCTCCGTTTTGGTTGAATTCACCGGCGGCCTTCGACCACTATAGGCCTAGCTTGAACTCGAATCAACCCAACCACAATCGCGACCGGCAAAATCACAAAAGCCCTTAGCCTGGCTGGCTGGCTGGCTTACTGCTACCGCTGCACGGCAATCCCAATGGCATGGCGGATGCCTCGGACCACCAGTAATGTTCATGGTGCATGGCCACGGCATAAAACCTTATCCTATCTAATCCCCGGTTAAAGCAATTTATTTGAGTTCAACTCGGAAAAAAATGACATGTGCGATGTGTTGTCTTCTATTCGGCTTCCATAATCGGGGCCAACAAGCCAATGCTACAACAAAACCCCACCAACGCCTCGCTATGCTGATAACGGTCATGCACCCAGTCGAGCGCTGACTTACGACTGGGATTTGATCATGAAAATCTGCACCTCGTGTTAGTCGGGGTTCGTCTATGAAGAGGCGTCCTATGCCAAACATACCTCTTTCATCGCCTGTGCATCCATAGTTGCTGCCTTTTTCTGGCGGATCCACCTCTGTCGCACAGCATGCATGCCTCGTGGGTTGTATGTTAATCCCGCAGGCGCAGGTGTGGACGCGCCCGACACAGGCACCGAAGAACTTGGCGTACTCTCTTCCGTCTCGCTCTCAGAGCTCGAGTCGTCGGAACTGTCCTTCTTGGCTGCCTTCTTCGCCGCCTTTTTAAGCGCCTTTTTGGCTTTCTTCTCCTCCTTGCGTGCCTTCTTCTCTGCTTTCCGTCGTGCCTTGTCTGTGAGCGGTTCGGCCGAGGCCTCCACATCAGACGAAGATGCCCGCTTCGACTTTTTCGACTTTTCCTTCTTGTGCTTCTTCGACTTCGACGAGTCGCTCTCTGTCTTCCCATCATCGCGCACATCTGTGCTCTTCTTCTTGCGCTTCAACGTTGGCTCCTCCTCGGTGTGCTCCTCTCGCTTTCTCTTCTTGTCCTTGCTGCTTGCCGTTTCGTTGTCGCTCTGAGGCTCAGATTTGATTTCCGTCTCTGTCTTGACCTCAATTTCCTTCTTGATATCCGACTTCTTTGTGATCTTATCGCCGACTAGGAAGCCGCCACTGACAAAGTTCATCATGCCGTACTTCCGGTACACGAATGCCCTCTTCTCAATCTCCTCGCGCCTCTCCTCTTCCTTCTTGACTTCGGCCTCGTTGCCGTTCAATCGCCCCAGAATACTTTCTAGCCCTGCAAGACCAAAGTTTTCCGGCCGCTCACTTCCTCGCTTTGCGCCCAGGCCTAGATTGTCGTCTTTGAGAAAGACACGAATGTGCGATTGGGAGGCGGCGGTGTAGTGAGCGGCGTGGGACGCATCTTTTGCGCCCAAAGAGCTACCAGGTTGCCATCCCTGCGAAGTCAACATGCGATGACCGAAGCGCGAGGTGTTGTTCGCCCATGTCGTGTTTTGCGGGTCATTGGAGATTTTGGTTCGGCTGCTGGAGCGTCAGTTTGGGAGGCAAAGATGGCAAAAGTCAAAATCGCGTGCATACTTCTTTGGCGCAGCGAGACCCATTTTGGCTTCTAGAGGTTATGGTGCGAAGAAAACACTAGGTTACTTTGCTGGTGAACAATGCGGGAGTCCGCAAACTGGAGGCCAAAAATTTGTGGATGCCACGCTAGTACTGTCCGTGCGCACCCAATGCAACACTTCAGCCAATGCAACACCCCACCAAAATGCGAGCTCACCAAAAAATGAAGCTTTTAACCACCACC